AGTGAAAATGACTTTTTCATTAAAAATATTTTGATTTACTGATAAAAGCGTCTAAACCGCCCAGTTTTTTGCCGGTTTTTCACCGTTCTCGAAATTTGTTGAAAACCGGCCGGTCTTTTTGCCGTTTACCGGCCGGTCTTTTTGCCGTTTTTCACCGGTCTAAAAAGACTTTTGGGCCGGCCGGTCACCGGTCGGTCCGGTCCGGTCTGCTGTTTTAAACCGGCCGGCCCGGCCTCTTATTTTTAGACCGGTTCCAACTCTGATATATTGTCTCACAGAGGCGATAATCGGAGGTATCGCGCTCTCCGCTCCAGTTTGCATGGACACTTTTTCTTACCCATGGACACCAACTAGTTGTTTTACTTGTATAAAGTTTCCAAAAACATGAATGAAATTATTATTCGATGAATAGCAAGTTAGCACCACACAAAACCTTTTTCATTTGATATTCAAACAACAGAAAAAGAACAACTGTAAAAGACTACCTTTCTATGCATTACAATATACAAAAGATAAAAACTTCCTAGAAGAACGGTAGCTCGTTTACATTCGGTCACTATCCTCGTATGATGAAACGTTTACCCTTCCACCTGGTTGAGCAGCTTTTGGATCCACAAATTCCGGTCATTTTCCTAATATCCATGCCGGAAATTGTTGAAAACGAGCCGGGGAACGTGGAACAAACAATGGACGCCGAACTTTTTGTCTGGAATTGAAGAAAAGTTAGTCTTATAAAAAGTCTTGAAAATGTATTGATTCTTCCGGTTTCTGAAACCCCTATATATAAACTACGACTTCTGTAGTGTTTTAAAAATGACAGACTTCTATCGTGATTTTAAATCAAGCTGATACATTTTTAGGTTTCTATTGTGGTATTGTTGGAAATAAGAAATAGATTAATGATGATGAGCTATGACTGAATGAATCAAAGTTATTGTGTCTATTTTTTAATGCTCATTAATGATGTTATAACGTATACTTGCTTTTTCTTTATGCATGTAAATGTGTTCTTATCAGTTTGACTAATAAAAGGAATAATCATTGAAGGAGGGGTATATGTTTTGACTATATACTTCACGGTTAAAAGAAAATTCAATTTATAACAGCAGGTGTGCATAGAAGAGATTGAAATGTGAACACAATGGATATAGGAGAAGTGACGTTTCATCGATACTATAGAATTCGTATTATCTTATAATTTTAATAAAATGATAGATGAATTCGGTGTATCAACCGATCAACTTACAGAGAGACGTGAAGTACATCTTCGAAAAATACCAAACAAAACTAAGCTCGTTGTAGCTGGTTTATTAGCACTCATCATCGTTCTCATTATTGTTTCTATTATCGGTTGGACACAATCTTTATGGCTCAAACATACATCATCTCCTGCTGTGTTGGTTCATTATGGAGACCAAACAATCGGTTCACCACCTGTTCTACCTAATGATGGTCCTTACGTTCAATGGACATTTCTTCATATGAACGATGTCTACGAACTACTTCCGTTGGATAATGGGAGAAAAGGAGGTTTGGCGAGGGTTGCAACGGTACGTAAGAAACTATTGGAAGAAAATCCTCATACTTACACATTTCTAGCTGGTGATCTTGTATCACCATCGGCACTAAGTCAAGCAAACGTTAACGGAACAGAATTAAATGGTAAACAAATGATATTTGGTATGAATGCGTTGGGTATTGATTACATGACTTTTGGTAATCATGAATTTGATTTGAAGCGAAATGATCTTCTTCAACGAATGTCAGAGTCAAATTTTACATGGATAGGGACGAATGTTTTCAATCTAGCAACCACATCCATGTTCGGTAAATCTGTTCCCTATAAATTATTAACAGTCAATAATGTACGCATTTTGATATTTTCAATAACAACCGATATGAATATGGGTGGTTCTACACCCTACGTGACAATTGTAAATTCGACATCATTGAAATCATTTATTCAACAGTTCTTGTCATCATTACAAATTCAATATGATGTTCTCATAGCATTGACACATGTTGAAGTTAAAACAGATATTATGTTGGCAGAGAATGTGCCAAATATTAGTATTATTATGGGTAAGGGGGATATATTAGATATATAAGGCTTTTTTGCCGCTTTAACAATATTTCTTGACTTTAGTTTCTTTCACCTCATGTCGAAGTGATATTAAGCTATCTATCTTCTATGAAATTTTTTCTTTAGTCTTTTCAGTCAGATTAATTGTCACTGGCGTTACAATGCAAAAAATGATGAAAACAAAAGTTACACGATCTTCTAACTGTCAAAGTCGACGTTACGGCTTTACGCTTCTACATGTCTAGGTCTTTACGACCTTAAGTTGTATTCTATATTTTGAGCCACTCGCACTGTTTCACAGTTTGTGTCGAAGAGTTCGGAACTCCGAAAATGCACAGGGGCATAGTTTTGGGATGAATGAAACGTAGTTTTGCCTCGGAAAATGTCAGGATATACAGAGAAAAAAACGCGAAACTCATGATGACTTTTATACGCGGTTTCTCGCAGTCAGTTTGGCAGGTTTTTTTTTCACAGTATGGTTGTTCAGGCTTTTGTTTCCTATGGTTCCAATATGACAGTTTTGCTGTGATGGTTTTAAAACCATTAGAAACACCGTCCAAGTAAAACTTTGCAAGCAAAACCGTCTACCTTGAAAGGGAAGAAAAAACGATAGACTTATGTAAAAACTTCAACACATACGAAAAGGTATCGCTGTTGAGTTCGTAAAGCTCCTCGCTATCGTACATGCATCTAGACATGCACCAGATACAGTTAACTGTAAAACTGTAGAACCGTACCTGTCATAGCTGTAACTGTGAAAACTGTAACTACTCATAACTGTAGGCAAATATTCTAGGGTGAGTTAGTCTTCTACGATTTGTATACATTTTAAGAATGTCTCTATTCTTAAAATGTATGCAAATCGCACTCTAGAAAACAACGTGCCTAAAAATAAGACACGATAAGTCGGTTGACCATAAGTCGCAGACATGGGTCTTAAAATAAGACGTTAATAAGCGTCTTAGTTTAAGACCCATGTATTAAGACTAGAGCCCTGCATGATGGACATGGACAGTTTTTTTAAATCTGTCCATGGACAAAACAAAATTGTCCATGCAGGTCTCTAATTCTCATACGCAAAACGTATTTAAAAAACGCGAACATTTCATGGACAAACTGATGGACATGGACAGAAAAACACTTTTGTCCATGGACATGGACGGACATGGACAAAAAAAAATTGTCCATGCAGGTCTCTAATTAAGACGCTTATTAACGTGTTATTTTGAGACCGACAAATTTATGTCTTACTTTCTATAACATTTCGAATTTTAAAATTAGATCATGCATGATCTAATCTCATGAGAATGAACCAGTATTTTCGGTCTAGCTATTGTACTATTTTATAAGAGAAAAATGGAAAAATTCCTAGTGTATTTTCATTAAATTTTCTGTTCTTTATCTACAAGTAGTGAATGTAAAACAAAAGAGGTGAATAATTTCTCATCCTTTAGACGATACAAATAAGACCTCTTTCTTCGTTCTTACAAATAAGACTGATAAATTCGTCTGTCTTTAAATAAGACAGAAGAAAAAAAGTTAGACCAATACAGGAGTAAGACAGATAAATAAGTCGGATTTTTTAGTCTAATTCACTCTAGAATATTTGCCTACAGTTATGAGTAGTTACAGTTTTCACAGTTACAGTTATAACAGTTATTACAGTTATTACAGTTATTACAGTTAACTGGTAAAAAACTATAACTGGTGCATACTTACATGCATTTGAGATATAACAGAGAAACGTTAACTGTATAGATGTATACATATACCATATGATAAACATCGGGTGTATTCTATGACGAGCGTCTAGAAATCTATGGTTAGGCGAAGATATTCACTATACCCTTCCCCTCTATCTTCTAAGACTATAGGCATCAGAACAATTTCAAGATAATCGCAGCTTCAAAGAAAAGAATTTGTGAAATGAGAGTTCACACAAAACAAGCATATTTTGCAGAAATATGCACTGGAAGACGTCTCCTCCTCCTTCCTGTCCTAAGTGCCAGTTTTACTCTCTTATCTACCCGGCTAATGCTCTTTATTAAATAATCCTGAGTGTGAGATAAATTTGTCCAAAAGCCCAAGACTGACTCTATTAAACTTATGTTAGTTGATTAGGAAGACGGTTTTTCTCTTCACGCTTTTATTTTTATTGTTTTTCTTTGACAAACGGCCAGTTCATGATTTTATTTCTACAGTCTTGAGCTTTACTATATTTTTTCACGGTTTTAGTTTTACAGTTCTTAAACTGACGGTTTTATTTTAGAGTTTTTCTTCAATGGTTTCAAAGTGGACGGCTCTGCTTCGCTGGCTTTAACCTTTACGATTTTACGTACATAGTTTTTCTTTTATATTTTTTGCATTTTACGGTTTTCATAATGTAGTTTTTTACTTCATGGTTCTTTTACACGGTTTTCTTTCGATGATTCTGAATTTTACGGTTTTTCTTACGGTTTTTTTCAGCGTGTAATAATTCGAAGATCAGCGTCACTAGTTACATAGATAAAGACACCTAGAAAATCGAACGTTGCTTGTATCGTATCAAATTTAGAAGTTATACTGCGCAGAATCCAAGAGAAGCTTCCAAAGAAAAGCAAATTATTTCCTGGTTGATATTGTCGATTAATAGAATTCTTGTGAAGCACCAGGAAGGAAACAGAATCGATAAACTTACAGTTCTCAGAATTTCCAACTCCTTTTTGAACGCCTAATTACTGTATTACTGTGCTGAAAACTTTTATATGCGCTACGATAAAACACCTATAGGACTGGGTGATTTATGAATAGTTTCTAAACTGACACTTATCGTTTTTAGGTGGTCATGAACACGAAAATTATTATTTAATTCGTGGTCAGTACAATACGCCAATCTTCAGAGCGGATGGTAATGTTTTTAGTGTTTTTATTCATCGTTTTGCTTATAATTCCAACACAAAATTATTACGTTTATACAGTACTTTAACTCGAATAACACCCGATATTCCCGACGATAATCAAACAGCTTCAGTTTCTAATTATTGGTTTTCTTTGGGTATGAATGCATTTATTCATGATGGATTTCAACCAAATGAGACTATCACTCGGTTACCTGATAATGTCGAATTAGATGGACGATCATCATCGATTAGATATTTTCCAACATTATTATCGGATCTTATTTGCAAAAGTATTTTGAACGAAACGAATGCAACGATAGGGCTTTATAATACAGGTGCAATTCGTTTAGACGATGTTCTTACCGGTGCGATAACTCAATATGATATACTGCGAACAGTACCATTTAAAAATTTTGTTGTTAAATTAAATGTAACAGGCAAGATACTTTCAAAAGTTCTCACCTATGGAGCAACATTACAAGGAGACGGGATGTTTTTATCCTTTTGTGGTGTACGATCATCTGATAAAAATAATTGGTTTTTAGAAGTTGACGGAACAACGAATATTGCCGAAAATAACAACACTTATATTTTAGCTACTCTTGATTATACTAAAAATGCAACAGATCTGAATGATATAAGTGTTGTTCTCTTGAACACGTATGAAGTGATAGCTCTTGCTGTTATTCGATATTTGAAAATAGTGTATCCTAGATAAAAATAAACCTCACCAAAGGGCACTTGTTTTCGCAGTGTACTCAGGATTCGATACAGGATTGGCCAAATGTTTTTCCATTCGCCACTTTCTAGATTTTCTTGCTCAGCTGTGAGATTCGATCTTTTTCTGGAACTCGCGTCAACACTTAATCAGAATAGGGAAAAGTAAAAATCGTAAAACATTGTTGTACAGTATTCTTATAATGGATTTGTTGTTATAATATTGTTGTCTATGCGCGAATTGAAACTTTTTTGTTTTTTTATGTTATATTTTTCTCTTTGTTCGATATGATCTAGACAAAGTTTCTTTTAAACTTTCATCATCACCAAGTCAGTTTTAAGATCAAGGACTAAAATAAAATTACTACTAGAAACAAAATGTGTAAGGGCCGCGTAATAGTGGATACGTCGCTGTCAGATGGACAAAAAGTTGAATATTCTGGTAAACTCATTATAACGTATTGCATTCAAAAACGAAAAACATGGGGAGTTGGCTCTCATACGAACAAGCACATCGCTTCATTTTTTACGTATGACACGAAAAAGTTTCATTGTATTATCAGCATACTACAGCTATAAGAACACGTATGAACACGTATGAAGTGATAGCTCTTGCTGTTATTCGATATTTGAAAATAGTGTATCCTAGATAAAAATTTTAAAATCAATAGAGAAAAAAACCTATGTTCTTTAACTTGAGAACGATAAAACTAGGCAAAGTAGACGATAATAATAATTCATGACTCAAGCTTCTTTGTGGGAAGACAAAGTAAGAAATATAAATTTTGCCTTCAAGTGTCTGGTCATGTGTGGATAGTAAAATATCAAGGTTCTTATTCTTCAAATGAAAACTTTAAAATACTGTCTATTTTCAGAAACAGTTATGACCAATGATGACACACAAATCAGGAGACAAATTATAGAAGTTCCCGAACGAGATTGTAAGGTTAAACTGATATTATTCTGTTTCAGTTGGACGTACAAATTTTATGCTGATTATTTCATACTTCCTTCGGGCAGTATTTGTCGAAATAATATGACATCTATTCGAAAATTGACAATCATACAAAGTCCATGAATTGAGAAGGTTGCTAATAGCATCTCTAAAACGGTTTCACTCAATGATTTAGCTTGTTTATGTTAAAAATGAAATTAAAGAACTATTTGTTTTCTAACCAAAGACTGCTGTCAATCAGACTGTAGCAATATTTTGCGAGTAGTTTCCTTCATTCATATTATCTTTTATCTAATCTCTTTTGAGTAATATCTGTTCGCCGATACCGTCAATTACTTTGGTATGTTGATATCACAAGCAATTTCATCACAGTGTGTAACTTGTTACTATTATAGCTATATAGAGAATTTATTCAAAATAGACTACAGGAATATTTCTATTATCTCCAATACTCGCTTTCGAATTCATCTATTTATCGTTAATCAATTTTTTTTGAACCTACTATTATCGAGTCCGAGTTGTGTCTCGGACTCCTCCATCTCTCATGCGAAACACAGGGGTTCAATGAAAAGAAGGTATAAACATTGTGAATCAATTACGGACTTTACATATTGTGTAAAGTTCTTGACATTAACTGTATGAAGACAGTAAAGACTATCTTTATGGACTGATTTATTGTAATCATAAAGTGGTCTTTTATTTTTTTAATCGCATTCTATCGTCCTCAGACAATATTGCTTCTTTTTTTAACAGTTACAAGACAAACATTCTTTAGAAAAAGCAAGAATGCATATGAATGTCTTGATAATAATGTTACTGTTCACATGTGTCAACAGTGATATTGTGTGTTTACAAGACTGTCAATTCTCACAGCCAATCGACGAACCATTTAAAATATCTCCAGATTGTACTGCGTTTATCTCTTCGCCCACTTGTACCGTTATATTTGCTGTTCAATATACGGAAAAATTTATTGATTATTGGTTCTATACAAACGGCTCTGCGAAAAGTGCATTGGATCCGACAACGTCTCACGTAATCGATCAACGGCTAATCATTGAATTTTATCAGGAGAAATACCACACTATCAGCAATTTTATATGTGTCTCCAGCGATTACTGCGATATCATTTATGCTCGAGACGCCGCAGAACGACTCCGGGTTATGAACCATCAACCACTCATTAATGATCTCTCCTCGCAGTTGTATGACTCCACTCATACAAACATTTCACAATGTCACGCTGAGGGAAATGCGATTATTTCATGTCTAGGAGGTCTTTGTTACGCGAATACTGAGGATGGAGAGCGCACATGTGCTAATACAGATAATCCTCTGGTTCGTGTAGAAATCTCAATTGAGAAGGCTGTAGCATATATGACTGACAATACCATCCAATATATTCAGGAAAATCTTCAGACTCTTTGTAATAGAGACTTATGTAATGGACCATCGACTATAGCACAAATTCAGGATATAATTAGTAAGTACAATACCACATTATCAATAACAAAGCCGCAAATAACAAACTTCACTTTTTCATCGGATTCGTCAACAACATCCACCAAGTTCGCTTCATTAGCCAGTGTCGGCACATCAACGTTACAAATATCGTCGACAACAACTGCTGCTGCTCTACAATTCAGGGCATACTACCCCCTATTCTTTCTCCTGTTACTTGTCGTTTTTTCTACTAATAAAAATTGAAATTCTTCAAGTTTCTTGTTCTTTCGTGATCAAAATACTGCTTTGTCTGTTGACTACTGAAGTTCATTATTAATTATAACTAATAATTTTTACTTTTTATTTGTGTTGGATAGATTCATAAATTCTCTATCGATCTGAGACAGAATTTTGTTAAAACTATTACTTCATGAAAATTTGGAAGGAAGAAGTTTGATTATTCGGATATGATGTAGGCTGGTTTTTTATACAACAGAACATAAGAGATGGATGTCACATGTATAAACAAGATAGTCTGTGCAGATTATTCTGTTAAAATCCTCTCTGGAGAAAAAGTTTTTTTATGATTGGTATTTTTAAACTGAATCTTCAAAATACAGCTATAAAAATAGGTAACCTTAGGACCGAAATGTTTGTTTGAAAAGGACGTACAGGAGACGTAACGACAACATGTTTCTCTATCATGACGGGATGATGATGACATAAATCCTGTCGTTTGTTGTGTCGTGGAAGAACAAAGTTGAGATTTTCTCCGATATGTGTGTGAACGACTTGCACCGTGGATCGGTAACGCATCTTTTCTTAAAACTCGTTTTTTAAAGAGAAGATAATCAATCAAATCAAATTCACAGATAATCAATTTCACAGCATCGTTCAGGAAATGTTCAGTACATATCTATAATTATAACACAACATCTATAATTTCTAATTCTAATATATCAATCCACTCGTATAATAGTTCTGGATCCGATGGGAAACAAAACATGGAAACCTTTTTACGATTTCTACCTATCATTCCAGCGCTTTTATCACAATTCGGCACACAGCAAGTGCGGGGCATTTTTCAATTTAGGAGTGATGGTATAATGTTACACAAGTGGATTGATATATTAGAAAGATAGTATACCTATTCCGTGAACTATAAAATTATGAGTAAGTGATCGCAAAACCTGGCAACCTATCACATTTGTATAATAAAAGTGCCCTAAGTGCGCCACAGTCAACGTGAAAGCACAAAGCAAGATACTTTCATGTGCCTTAAACCTCACCAAAGGTCACTTGTTTTCGCAGTGTACTCAGGATTCGATACGGGATTGGCCAAATGTTTTTTCATTCGCCACTTTCTAGATTTTCTTGCTCAGCTGTGAGATTCGATCTTTTTCTGGAACTCGCGTCAACACTTAATCAGAATAGGGAAAAGTAAAAATCGTAAAACATTGTTGTACAGTATTCTTATAATGGATTTGTTGTTATAATATTGTTGTCTATGCGCGAATTGGATGAAACAAAATGTGTAAGGGCCGCGTAATAGTGGATACGTCGCTGTCAGATGGACAAAAAGTTGAATATTCTGGTAAACTCATTATAACGTATTGCATTCAAAAACGAAAAACATGGGGAGTTGGCTCTCATACGAACAAGCACATCGCTTCATTTTTTACGTATGACACGAAAAAGTTTCATTGTATTATCAGCATACTACAGCTATAAGAAAAGATGCAATTTGTTTATTTCACCATTCTACGCCTAGTATTATCCACTTATATTTCATAATGGAAAAACTTTTCATTAGAAAAGTTTTCAAATTGATTTCTATTTCTGTTTTAACTGAAATTAAATGATTAATATATAACTAGCGTATCAATCAATTAAAATAAAACAAAAACAATATTGCCATTGAATTGAATTTGAAGTCTAGTAGATGTGTTCAACAACTCTCTCATCGTTGATCTTTTTGGAATAAAACATTATTCAAGACAGCGAAATATTAGTACGATGAATAGAACGGATTTTTAATCTCTAAAAGCTTTTGCACTATTAAATTAAGTACAAACATAAACAATATTTTGGAATATTCAATAAATAAGATGAGAATTACACTCCAATTTGATGATAAATATACACTTGACGTTTTCTACACTATTCTTCGATTAAAGTAGTAAATATAAAATTAATTTTTAACTATGTGAAAGTTTTACTGTATTGTTGACTATCATATTTTCTACAGACTATAGCTGAGAAAGTATAAAGGATAGTTCGTGATGATGCTGAGCATTCTTGTTAGTCTCTTTTGTTGTGTGTGATTTCCGCATGTTTGTAAATTACACCATTGCTTTGAGGGAAAAAAAATTTCATTTCAAATCTGTATGTTAAAATGCAAAAGCAATATTGTCTCAGGAAAGTGCGAAGAGACTCGACTTAAATAACTGATCGACTCCTATATTTTTATAGCAACTATTTTAGTCTCTATCTTAAATATCTAATTGTATAGTCTTCAACATTAGATTCAACACAACGCGACCATGAAAGGAAATCGATGCAATAATGTCAAACCTGTGAATAGCGCGCCATGATAATTGTGTCTTTCGGCTCGTACTTCGAAGGTACCATGTTCGAACGTCGATACGACTAAGTAACCCAATGGTCTTCAGCAAAATATTCTTTTCTTATTGCAGCAAATCATCCGTCCGATAACGTACCTACTGTGTTTTAACGTGCTAATCAGTTCTTCTATTTAGCACTAGTAACTTTTCGAGACGAACTAATACATAGATAGCAAATGTATATGGAAACAGGTATTTATAAAAGAAGCTTACATCGCAGAACGACACGAGCTATACGCTATTTGACTCTCAATGTAGGATTAAATCTATATATATGAGTGAATTGCAACGCCATTGTACGATTTGGTCAAAAAGAACTTTTAAAAAAAGTTTAATCTAAAACAAATCTGAGTCTATTTTAGTATATATACTAAATTATACAGTTAGAGATATACTGCCGTCTATCTAGATGTTAGTGCCTGTGGTCTGTGGTGATGACTAGGCTCTGGCTGTTAATCGCCGTTGTTAAGTATCCATCTGAATATTATTAGTATAACCAACTCATCTAACTCTATCTGTTGACTGTATTACACTTTAATTCTAGAGTGTTAGTGGATGTTAACCAGTGTTAGCATCTTTTCACTGATACCTGTATGAGAGCTCAAAAGAAACACAGACTTCAGGCTAGCCTTCGGGACAGGATTATAGCTGATGACTTGTAATAACATGAGTGACTATGTCCAAGACATCTGCAGGAAAGAATTCAGGCTAGTACAATGGCAGTATCCTACACCGGCAACGGTATCCGATAGGAGAAATAAATCTCAAACGTAAATGAAATTTTCTATTTAACATCTGCACCTGTTTATATGTTGAAAACAGGTTTGGGTATTAATAGAGCGCTAGTGTATAATGGCGTATTTTACAAATATTTGTAATTACATAGTATAAGTTAGAACTACTTTATGATTGTAAAAAAAGAAGAAGTCAAATGTCAAATTGATTTGGAATCGTAAGAGAAACACAACATATATCATTTTCTATAGTTGTGTCATGCAACCACATGTATATAGTTTATAGAATTCTCATTGCTCATTAATTAAATGTGTTCATACCATATAAATAACATTGTCCAGTTGTAAACGTCTCTCTTCCGGTATTCTGATCTCATTAAATTGTTTAGTATGTTTTTCTCGTTCTATTCATTCATTTTCCTATAGTTATTACTTCTATTAAATATTCATATAATTCATTATCAGAAATAATAGATACATGAATACAATAAATAGTGAACTACTGCATATTGCAATATATGTCACATAATCGAACAAATGTCATCTAACAAATAATAATTGCTTTAATTTCACTTAGGAGTTTAACATCTTCAGTTCAATCAATTACACAAAACTGAGACCGTTGATAAGACTAATTCATTTATAGAATGAAAATATCAACTGTCACAAATTCTATAATGTACATAAATTTAGATGTTTCAAAAATAATTGTTAAGAATGTTAAAAAAATTTTAAATTTTTTTAAAAAGTAAATTTTTTAATTAACTGCAAGTAAATACAACCTTTGTAGACTGAACATATACAAATCTCTAATAAATCGTGTTTTACATACGAACAAAAGATTAACATTTCATTTCCGATACTATTTCTCATTATTAGTGTGTAATGAATGTTTTGTCAGAATCAGATTTGTTAAAAAGAACATTTTAATAGAATATAATTTATTGTGATCGTTAATGGTGCTATCGAGAATATAGACTCTATAATTGAAAAATATAGTAGTACGCTCATTTTTCATTTAGAAATAAAGAGCCAAGTTTTTATTTTTATTTTTAATGTTAGTGATAATCATACACAATCCCAAGGGATACTAATATATTTAGCATTAATATTAGATGAATAATAGCTTTTCAGAACATGAAGGTATACAAACTGACTACTATTAATCGACTAAAACTATATTTTTCACCTATATTTTAGTGAAAAAAAAAAATCAACTAGCCAAAAATGAGTAATACTGCATTGCTTGTTAAACTTTAAATTTTTTTCTTACTATCGTCATAGCACTAATATGATAGAAGATAATTAAGTATCTATAAGAAATATCTTTACGATATGATGTATATTATTTTGTGTTATCGAAACGATTTCTTATAGTGTCTATTTCAAAGGTACAAGAAAGAATTATCTCAAACTGTCGTAGATATGGTTTATTAAACTATTTTTATTGTAGTATCGTTATTTTACGTTTCAATCATGTTATTATTTGATGTCATCTCTCTAGAGTATTAACATGTCATGAAAAACAGATATCTCTATATGACTATCTATAATTTTTCTTTTTCTTTTTATTGGTTCTTAAAATGTTCATGTTTCGTGATAGATATATTTTTATTCGCTAACATGAATAAACGATAAAAAGAATAGGATAAAATAAAAATGAATTGAAATTTATTTTTTATAATTTAATATATTCTACATAGTAATGATTAAACAACCTTCAATTCGTAAAGCAGCATTTAATATAGAATATTTAATATCATCTCCCAATGATAATGATAGATCAACACATTCTTTCGATAATGATTTAACATCAATAAGAACACAATCAATATTATCATCGTATCCATCATTACCATTTGTTCATCCGTTAACAAATATTTTATGTTCAATTAATCCGTATGTTGGAATTTTAACAAATAGTTATAATTCATCTACTACTAATTATACAAATATTGAAGAATTAAATAATAAAATTACACATCATAAAACAAAATATCAAAAATATTCACATAAATATTCTCATAAACGACAATATCATCAAAAATTTGGGAATAGATCAATATCAACAGAGGAACAAAATTCACTTATTAATAGGGCACATGAATCAAGTAGGTAAAAACATTAATAGAGTGACATAGCGACGAATTTGATAGTGGATGAATAGTACATCCATGAATAGCAGTCCTCAAAACCTTTTTCAATTATATGAGATGATATTAAATAAATCGTCGACTTTCTCGAAGAATTTGTAAAAAAAAATTGGGCACATAATTCAAAAAACTGTTAGCGATAAGACTAGGATATTTAGTAGCAGTGGCGGCGCAAAGAAGTTAAAGCAGGGGGGATAGTTTCAAAAATCGGAGTATGTTCAAAAAGATTTTCTGGCAAGTTTGATAAAGAAAAAGAAATAATACAAAATTTGACATTTTTTCATTTCGGATTTACAATTGTATATTCCGTTACCTCCACACTTTGCAGACACAGAAAGAAAACAGCATTGTTTCACTGTTCCTTCATATCCTTCACAAAACAACATACTACATTCTACGACCAGATTTATTTCTGGACCATCGTTCTACTAATTCTTGTGTATTCATAGCATCTACAAATACTGTTACATAAAACTGTTACAATGACGTTTAAAGTTTCTGACTAGAACCGGTTTAAGACACAGAGGACATTTGCCTGACAAATTACTTGACATATTCTGTCAAGAGGTATCTAACTTTTCGTACAGAGAATGAATTTGTTAAGTCAAATAAAACAGTATTACTGTCTGATAACCGTATTTTTTTTTCGCTATGCTATTTATTGATACGCTTGTAAGCGCTTGCAAAAGTAATGGAAAAAGTAAAAATACAAAAAGTTTTGTTTACAATGTAGGTCATTCTCTCCTTCTACATAGCTCAGCCCAAGACTAGTTTGCAATAACATAAAAAATTAACATACAAAATACCAGAAAGAAAAAAGGAAAGAAAAATCTAGAACCGATTTAACTAAGCGGACTAGTATCTCAACTCACAGTTATAGTTGTCTAGAAATGAAAGCCATTCGAGAAGTTAACATTTATGATTCTTGATCATCTTTTTTACACGCTTTAGTCTAAAAAAGTGACCTAACCCAAGTTTCTTTCTATCGATTGTAAGGGAATCCCAATAAAAAACATCATTAAAAAAAAAGGATTGGCCTAAGTCGGATATGTGACTTCGCATAAGCATTTTTCCTAAATAGGATTTAACATAAAAATTCAGATCGTTTTCGTTATTTTTGTAGCAAGGGAAAAAAGCAGAAGATCCATGTGAAGATGGGAAAAGTGTAGGCGAAGAAGCAAAGTCGAAGAACTTTGGTTGAGATATTTTTATTTCGCTTCAGCCATTTTAATTTTGAGTAAGACGTTTGAATGTTTTCTAAACAACTATCGACCGTAGGTTTTAGCGAAAGCTTGTCCGTCCACGTATTAAAAGTAACTAAGTATTTAAAGACAGATACTACTACTAATTTAATATTGTTCATATAGATTTTGATCTCAGGTTTAATTACCTTTTTTAATTTTTAAATGTGTATTCTGTTATATCTATCCATTGTTATTCATTAGCCTGTTCTGTCTATTTAGTCCAGTCAAGTTTATAGCAAAAAACAGAACCACTACACTAATTTTTTTCGCGTCTTCTCAATAAATCAAGTGAACAAATCTCATAATCATATACGACTATGTAAAAAAGTTTAGTCACTATTCCATATTAGATATATATATTTGACGAAAAAAGCGAGTCAATTACGTTTAAGATCACACTAATTTTATTCTTGATTATGATAGATCCTAACCGGACTCGATAAAAAACACTCAAGTCCAAGGTTGTCAACTAATGCGTCAGTAGGGACTTGGACCTGTCCATCTTGAGAAGGAAGTGTTCCACCTTGTTCTAGCTTTTCCCGATTTTGTCACATTTTTGTAGCAAAGATGGCCGGAAATTCGAGAAAACAGCAAATATCTACGCAAAAACCGTAAAAATTTCAAACCAGACTTTGGCAAAATCGGAGTAAACTCAGTCCATTCTTTCATAAAATCGGAGTAAGTTTCCCGTACTTCTGGCTCAAATCGGAGCAAATTTGCAAGGAAATTTCTGAAAGCAGGGAGGGTGTATCCACCCCTCACGCCAACGGTCGCTCCACCACTGTTTAGTAGTTTACTTTATTAGTTTCCAAATTTGTTTCGATCTATGTAAATTTTTGTTCATTATATTAATTTTCTTCCATTTTTAGCGTTTGATTCACTAACCACATCGATTAATGATAAATTAATACCATTTGAATTTAAACGTATGCGTACTGCGTTTACATCAACACAATTGCTCGAATTAGAGCGTGAATTTTCAACATCAATGTATTTATCACGTTTACGACGCATTGAAATTGCCTCATATTTAAATTTAACTGAAAAACAAGTGAAAATATGGTTTCAAAATAGACGTGTCAAATACAAGAAAGAAGGTGTAAATGATCAACAATCATCAGTGGCAACATCACTACGGACATTACCAAAAGAGGCACCAAAAAAATATCTGAGAACATGTCAAAATAATCGAATATCAATAAACCAAAAAAAATATTTGCTTAATCATAAGAAACAAGAATTATAAAATTTTACTTTTAAAATAAATAATTATAACGAAATCTCATATAAATACATCTGTAGTAATGAGTTCCGAATTCTTTTTACTGACGTGAATATACACAATAATTATTGTACATGATATTAAAAGTATATGCGATGTATCTAAACCTATATAGAATTAAAGTAATTCTTTGCCTTATTTTCTGCTCTCTCTCTTGCTAAACAATTTTCTCAAATGATATTTCTCAAATGATATTATAATGGATATTTCACCGTTTATCTATGGAAATAGTCAACTTTTGTTTAGTTTATTCAAGAGAGAATTTTAATATCCTACTATTCTTTGCCCATCTGTATTTTTTTATTATTTAATACTAAAGAGGCATCTGCGATTTAGTGATGATCATAAACTCATGTGAAGAATGATCTTCTTAAAAATTAATACAATACGCTATGAAAAATCAAAGTAAATATCTTGCTGAGAATAATGAAAGAAGGAAGATTATCAAATATACTTGACCAACCGTCTTTCTGTATATGCTCTTCAAACTAGGACTGTAAAAGTTCCCGTTGCGTTGATTTAACGCTAACTGACAACACAGTTACCGTTAAAACAACGGTAACTGCCTTTCTAGTTACCGTTGTTTTAACGGTAACTGACTTTTCAGTTACCGTTGAAATAACGGTAACTATCAGTTAGTTAACTATGTGGTAACTATTTCTTAATTATGGCCGAAATATCCAGGCAGCGGCTTAAAATGGCTTCCAAAATCGTTAGTTTTCCACTAAAACTGTTGAAACTTTCATAAATGACATGATTTTGATTGGCACACA